TGGGTGTTGAAATATTATGAAAAAGGCAGTCTAAAAGCCAACAACTTAAGAATACAGTGAAAAATCCACGTGAAAACACGAAAGAGTGTCTGTTGGTAGGAGAATGACATCGGACCGGGATGGGAGTTGCAATACCAAACAGATCTTTGAAGCAAGCAGTTGTAGGAATCAAACGAGCTAGTTATACCTTGGAACACCCACGCAAATATGCGAATGAGAGTCGCGCAGGCACGAAGTGGATGCTGTTCGCACTGTGCCAGGTCTCCAGCTTCCTTCAAACTCTACTTTACTATCTCTAAGGTCGTGAAGCGGCAGGAGCAGAAGGAGCAGAAGGAGCAGAAGGAGCAGAAGGAGCAGAAGGAGCAGAAGGAGCAGAAGGAGCAGAAGGAGCAGAAGGAGCAGAAGGAGCAGAGGGAGCAGAGGGAGCAGAAAAGCCCACCTTGGTTATTCTCTCGAGGTCGTGGGACCACAGGGAGCTCCTCTGAAGCTGCTGCACCTTCTGCACCTGCATGCGTGGGGGCACATGTGTGAGTGGGCATGCATGGGGGCACATGTGTGGGTGGGCATGCATGGGGGCACATGTGTGGGTGGGCATGGGTATACGTGTGTGTGTGAGCCTGGGGTTACGTGTGTGTGTGTGGGCATCCATGGGGGTACATGTACGTGTGGGCATGGGTATACATGTGTGTGTGCGCCTGGGGTTACGTGTGTGTGTGTGGGCATGCATGGGGGCACATGTGTGGGTATACGTGTGTGTGTGAGCCTGGGGTTACGTGTGTGTGTGTGGGCATACATGGGGGTACACCATGTGTATGTGTAGCAGCCACACACTCACGTACGGTCACATGGACGCGCCTTACCGGGGTCTGCCTTTGAGTCACTTGTTTAGTTCCCAACGATGCTAGAAGCAATCTCGTAATGTTGGATGATGAAAGAAGCGATAGCCAGAGGGCAATGGAGCATGGATGCAGGGCAAAATGCGGCATGTCATGCTATTGTGTGCCGTTCCAAGCTTGCCTGGGTGACGAAGTAATCGTCGGAGTACGTCTGTGTTGGCTGTTGCTTGTCCTCAAACGAGTATGCATCCCCATCCGATGCCGTGCTGCGGGGGCAAGCAAGCAGGTTAAACAAGGAGTCAGGGGGAGACAAGGACGGCTAGATGCTTCTTGGTTGACTCAGGAGTCGCTCGTCTGTGTGGGCTGCTGCTTGACTTCAAACGAGTACGGATCCCCATCCGATGCCGTGCTGAGGAAGTAGGCCAAGGAAAGGAGGCCGGAAAGGGATTTCGTGGGAGAGTAGAGCAGTTTGGACGTTTGAGCAAGAAACAACAGGTTAGGGTTTGAGAAAGGAAGGAGGCACACAGCATGCGACACACATAAAACAGAAGAATTGCTCTAACCCTCACCTGGCCGGGCCGTCATGCCTACCTGGCTATGGCCTCGTCCAAGGCTTCCATCTCCTGCTTCAGTTGGCCCGTTGGCGATTGAGACGTGTTCGCAAACCTCACCGCACCACGGAAACACTACCTGCTGGTGCCTCACCTGGCGATGGCTTCGTCCAAGGCTTCCATCTCCTGCTTCAGTTGGCCCGTTGGCCCCAGATGGTCCCGAAGAAACCTGCTCACGCATGCATGCACATGTGTATACACATAAATAAAAAACACACACACACTCCCCTCCCCTATCAACCCCTGCCCGTTCTCCTCCCTCCTTGCCTCATGATGCCGTCCGCCTCTGCCTTTACCACTGGCTTCTCTCTCTCTTCTCCATCCGGCTTCTCTCTCTTCTCCCTCCGGCTCCCCCTCAGCACCTGCTGCATCTGCCTCTTCTGTCCCTCCATCCTATCGATCAACCCCCCGCCCCCCCCCTTCCCCCCTCACCCTTACCTCGTCTGCCTCTGCCTTTCCCACCGCCTTCTCTGTTTTCTCCCTCCATCTTGCTCCCGATACTTACACTCCCCCCTCACCTCATCACTTCATCTGCCTCTGCTTTTCCCACCGGCTTCTCTCTCTTTTCCCTCCGTCTCGCGTGCCCCCTCAGCACCTGCTGCATCTGTCCCCCCACCGCCCCCCCACTCTGCCGAGCCAATGCCGCCACGCCAGCTGTCAGCAGCAGCAGCTCGTTCGAATACTCCAAGCCTGCAATGAAGGGAGACGGGTGGGGAGGTGGGGAGAGTAAAGGGGGAATGCAGGGGGCAAGCGGGCGAGTTTTAGGGGCCAATGCCGCCGCGCCAGCTGTCAGCAGCAACAGCTCGTTCGAATAATCCAAGCCTGCCTGCAATTATGGGGATGGTGAGTGGGATGGGAGGGGGTGGGGGAAGGTGGGGGGGTTTGAGGGGGGAGGAATGCGGGGGGTAAGGGGAATGCAGGGGGCAATAGGGCGAGTTTTAGAGGCCAATGCTCTCTGGCAGCAGCAGCAGCTCGTTCAAAGACTTCAGACAAAATCAGGGAGAAAACGTGGGGGGGGGGAGGGGGTATATGTGATTGACGGGGGCATCATGCGATAGGGTTCTTTGTGGTGGCTGGGAAGGGTTTGTGGCCGGGCAAAGGCGTCTGGGAGGAAAAGGAGGGCATGGTACGACGACAAGCAGCAAGGCCGCAAGGGGGGAAAGAGAGATCAAACAGAGACACCTGTGCAACACAGGTGCAGACGGGGGAGGGCAACACAGGTGCAGACGGGGGAGGGCAACACAGGTGCAGACGGGGGAGGGCAACACAGGTGCAGACGGGGGAGGGCAACACAGGTGCAGACGGGGGAGGGCAACACAGGTGCAGACGGGGGAGGGCAACACAGGTGCAGACGGGGGAGGGCAATGTAGCTTCTGTGCTGTGGCCTTCGAGCTTGTGCTGTGGCCTTCGAGATTGTGCTGTGGCCTTCGAGATTGTGCTGTGGCCTTCGAGATTGTGCTGTGGCCTTCGAGCTTGTGCTGTGGCCTTCGAGCTTGTGCTGTGGCCTTCGAGATTGTGCTGTGGCCTTCGAGCTTGTGCTGTGGCCTTCGAGCTTGTGCTGTGGCCTTCGAGCTTGTGCTGTGGCCTTCGAGATTGTGCCTGCATTGACCTCTGTCCCCACATTTTTCGAATGGAAAATATCACAAATCACACCTTCACCCAGCCATTTGCTCTCGTTCCGCCTTGTCTCCTTCTCTCCCTTCCCTTCATCTTGTGCCTCGTTTCTTCCTCGCACTCCTGCTACTCTCCCCATCCACCAGCATCCCTTCTCTCCCTCACCTCCCACACACTCCCCCTCCCTCCCCCACCGGCCGGGTGGCGGGGCCCCTCTTCTCCCATCCTCTCACCTGCCATGCGCCATCGGAAGCTGAAGTCGCCCACTCCCAGTCGCTCCAGATTCTCGCTCTGAGCGCCACCACGCGCACCAACGGAAGGAAAAAGACGCACACACCAGATGCACATAATCACATATGCACATAATAGCACATTGCCAGGTTGATATGGCGAGCACGGGCGCACAGCCGACAACAATAGCAAGAGCCACCCAACAGAGTAAGCAAGTGCTTCTCATCCAACCTTGCCCCTTGGAACCCGCTCCTGGTATCAGTACCAACACCCATTAGTGGCATATTGACTGATGGTATTCGTTTTATAGAGTTCGCAACCAGTGAATCCCACCGACCCGTCTCGACACACTGACTGCACTTCCCTCTGCCCATCTAGACTCACACCCTGCGTCGTCACGTGTGAGTCCGCTCAAAAGACCCACGCCCTAATCCACTACCCCTCACCTGCAGCTGCTGCCGCAGCTCTGCCACGTGTCCGGGCTCCAATTGGCTCCAGTGGTCCAGCACGCGGTGCATCAGCCCGGCCACTTCGAACGCCAAGATGCCCATCGGACGGCTGAGGTCGCTGCACGCGATGCTCCTCACCGCGCTCCCGCCCTTTCCGCCGCCACTGCCACCGCTACCGCCGCCGCTTTCGGCGCTGCTGGTAACGCTGCACGTACACGTGCCGGCACCGCCATTACTAGCGGTGCTGCTGCTGCTGTCCGCACCGCCATTAGCAATACTGCTGCCGCTGCTGCTGCTGAGGGTGCTGATGCTGCTGCTGCTTCTGGAGGTGGTGATGCTTCCTACTGGTTTCCGAACTACGTGGTTAGAACCGGCGTCGCTGATTGGTGGAAATTCCGCGTCTACTAACGCGTCGATTATGCTCACCTGGTTACCCATGTGACGCGGCAACTATCGAGGTCTTTCAAGTGGAACCGCGTGGAATAAGTACGAGTGTCATGTCCTAGGCGCATTAGGTTTCACAATAAGTTACTTATTGGATCACACGACAAAACCGAGAGGTTAAAACCGGATTGGCTAACTCGCCGGTTTTGGGACATCTCGAAATGCGGAATGTGACTGGCTGACACGTGGCACTTTGCCGAGGCTCTAGCTGGAAAGTTCTACTTCACCGACTGTTTGACGAAACCGACTGAATCGGAAACGCTCTGTCTGCCAGAATCTAGACTTTGCTGTGTCTCTGCAGGTGCTGTCGACGAAACCGATTATCATCGCGTCCTTAGCGTGTGACTCGCGCAGTGAGCTGTGAGGGGACTCAGCATATGGCGAAACCAAGCCAAGCATGGACTGGGCTGCTCCTGCTATGCGTACGTTAGGCGACAGGCGTTATGGAATGCTGGTTTGGCTCTTTCAGGTGAGAGAAGGCCATGGCTTGGTGGCTGCCAGCTATTGATTGAAGGTTCAGTCACTAACACACACGAATGGAATGCTGTGGAGAATGCGATATAAGCAGAACGCTGGCGGGCCTTTATCGGGTACTGGCTTATCTGACAGCCCACAGTTCCCCCAGGCCCCTCGCGCCAGCCGTCAATGGTGGGCAAGTAGCGTCACGTCGCCAGAGGACACGTATGGATGAACATAAATTTTTGCGCGACGGCCGTCAAGGCCAATTGACGTTGACGGAACGGACCGCCAACAAGCAACTGTACCAACCACCTGCGTTTTCCCCTGCTGGTGCACCACGTAACGGAACTGTAACACATTTGGATGAATATTAGAATCGCATGCACCCATAAACCACTTGGCATACAGACAAGGAGCAAGACTTTCTCGTGCTCCTCTTTCTACCTAGACATATTGAGGGGGTTGTGAACAGTGCCAGACATGGCACGGGGCAGCGAGGAGGGAACCAAAACATACTTGCCCCTCACGCCCAGCTTCCTGAGCACCGACTTGAGCTGTTGAAGGTTCATGGTGCGAGGGACCACCGCATCTACACCTGCATGCATGCTCTGCTGCATGGCTCGGTCCAACCCCGCCAGATCCCACCTGTTCATGTTAGCAACTGCAATAATGACCGTGCGAGGAACAGAATTTGCTGCTCTTGCCGGGTCCTCAAGCGGAGAAACAGAACCAGGAGCTTCTTCTGCTGCTGCTGCTGCACATGTTGCTGCTGCTGCTGCTGCTGCTGGTGATGATGAAGATTCATTCGTGTCTGCCTCAATACCACTGAAACTGCCCCCAGGAGCAGAGACTGGGAGCTGGTTGCACCTGGCATCAGCAGCAGTGCATTCCTCCCCATCCCTTCCCTTCCCGCCTTCTCTTTGTCCCTCGGCACGGCGAATGCTGCGGATGCAGGCAAAGCCATCATGAGCCATGGCCTGTTCAGCGGCAGGGGAGAAGCAGGGGGGACCAGAGGGACATACGGTCAGCCTCAACAGAGGAAAGAGGCAGCAGCAGGGGAGAAAAAAGACAAGTGCATGGAGCGAACCCCACACCCCACAACACGCCCCACTCCCATGTCCGACACACCCTCTGTAACACCCGTGCAGAATCCCGAGGGATGCGAAACCTCAAGCCATGGCGTACACACCTCGAGCTCCATGACCACGAGGGAGAAGGGTCCGTCCGCCTTCCCTCCTGCCTCCGCTGCATCTGATGCCAGGCCCGCTTCACTCAAAGCGCACTGCTCACCAGCACATCTCGCATGCTGCTGCTCCCCCCCTTCAACCTCCCCGCTGTCCTCTCCCATGTTTTTCCCCGAGTTGGTCCCCCTGTCTTCCCCCCTGTCTTTCCCCCTGTCTTCCCCCCTGTCTTTCCCCCTGTCATCCTCCCTGTCGTCCTTCCCACTGCCATCGCACACCTCTGGCACCACGGCTGCCCATCCGCCCACTGCCTCTTCAAACCGCCCCACAGCCTCTGTGACTGTAGCTGCCGTGACAACATCGAAGCCGCACCGCTCCAGCTGCTGCGGCAGGTCGTTCAGCAGCGCGCCCACCAGCCCTACTCCCACGCCGCCAGCTGTCGCCCCGTCCGCCACCAGCGCACGCACACACATAGGGGTGGACGGAGGCAGCAGACGAGAGGGGGTACCCACGTAGGAGGGTATGGGAGGCAAGGAGGTCGCAGCTAAAGAGGCGTTATAGGAGGAGGGGGGACCGGCGGCGGAGGGCATGGGAGGCAAGGGGGTCGCAGCAGACGAGCCACCAGATAGGAAGGATGTTGTTCCGGTCAGCAATCTCTCTGCTGGTGCTCGCACTCGCTTCCTGCCTGCTAGCATGCTGCTGACAGTAAAGCCAACTGGTGCTGCTCCTGCTTCTGCTGCTGCTGCTGCCACTTCCCCTTCCAATCCCTTAGCTCTACCTGTTGCGGGTGCAGCAGCAGCAGCAGCAGCATCATCATTCCCCCCAACCAGCGAAGGCAGGGCCACCACGGGCGAGGGTGGCAGAGCAGGGGGTGACCGCAGGAGAGCAACGGCCGCCCCTAGCAGCGCGCTCTGCTCCCACCCAGGCGAGCAAGGAGGGTACGGGGAGAGAGCCAGGGGCGACAGCAGCTGAAGAGGCGTCAGCAACGGGTAGGCTCTTCCAGGGAAGGCGCCATCTGCTGCCTTGCCTCCCTTACCCCCCGCACCACTCCCTCCCATCCCCTCGATTCTCCCCAACCTCTCCTCTCCAAACGGCCTCCCATCACCATCACCACCACCGCAGAGCACATCGGCCAATCGTCGCCGCTGCACGCGAATGGGGGGCAGACCCACGGGCTGCCTCAAGGCTGCCGCATGCCTCACTGCCGCCGGCTGGTTGGCTGCAGCGTCATCATCATCATCAATAACAGCAGCAGCAGCAGCACCACCACCAGCAGTAATAGCAGCATCACTTGAGTTCACTCCGAGCTTAGGCTCTTCCTTTGAATCGGGGAAGCAAGGGCCGCTGGGAGAGGGAGAGGGAGAGTGGGAGAGCGAGCGGGTGGAGATCCCAGCAGATGAAACGGTTCAGCCTCCAGCTCTCGAGTCCGGCGTTTCATCTCATCCTGACACGTGTCAAACCGCACCCTGGGAGAGCGTTTCATCTGCAGAGACATGGGTTTCATCTCACAGGGCACCGGAGGGGTGGAAATGGGATGCGCAGGTGGAGATCGGCCTGGTGAAGGCCGGGCAGCAGAAGGTGAGCCTGGCGAATCGGTGGCGGCGGACGGACAAGGGCCATGCCAGAAGGAGGAGTATTAGAGGTGGCGTGAGACGAGATGGTGCGGGAGGCGCTGCAGGGGGCACGGATGGGGGAGGGGAGCAGGGCTGTGGTGGCAGGACGGCTCGTCGGGGAGACGTCAGAACGGGTTTTCGAGGTGGCGTGAGAGGAGACGGTGTGGGAGGCGTTGGGGGGGACAGGGATGGGGGAGGGGAGCAGGGCTGTAGCGGCCGGAGGGGTCTTTGGCGTGGGGTGAGATGAAATGGTGTGGGAGGCGTTGGAGGGGAGGAATCTGCGCGTGGCGCCCACGCCAACGCTCTCCAGCATGTGGCGGGACGGGAGGATCTCCCGAGGCGTGTGCAGCTCCGGTGGGCCCCGCATGCCCTCGGGAATGTCGTCTGGTGATTCTGGCGATGATGCCGATACTGGGGACCCTGGGGATGCTGCTGATGATGGGTTGTTGGTGATGATGCTGACCCTGCTGCCACTGGTGAGCTGGCGCCTACATCCACTGCCAGCGGTGCAACTCCGCGCACTCCCTCCCTCTGCCTCTCCATTCCCAGATCATCCGTCCTCGCACTCCCACGCCGTCTTCTCCACTCTCCGTAAGCACCGCCACATTCGGGCGATGTGATTATATTGCAGGACGGGACCGGCAGGAAGGGGAGTCCAAGCCACCGCCGCCACCGCCGCTGCATCCGCTGCCACACCTCGTCGCACTCTCCCTCTCCTCCCTCCGATTGCACCTCTCCCAGCCAATCCCCCGCTGCTGCTGCCGCTGCAGCCGCTGCAGCGACTGAAGATGCTGCTAGGCGCGCCTCTTGCACTCTCCAAGTCCGGCCTCCTAATCCCGAGCCACTCATTGGTCACTCCCCCACCTCTTGCATCCATCCCTCCTCCTCCGTCCTCCTCGTCCGTGGGCAACGTCTTGGCAAACGATGCAGCAGCAGCAGGAGGAGGAGCGGCAATGGCAGCACCATCAGGAGCAGCCAGAGGGGCAACGGATGTAGCAGCGGCAGCAGCAACAGGAGCAGCCAGAGGGGCAACGGATGTAGCAGTGGCAGCAGCAACAGGAGCAGCCAGAGGGGCAACGGATGTAGCAGCGGCAGCAGCAACAGGAGCAGCCAGAGGGGCAACGGATGTAGCAGTGGCAGCAGCAACAGGAGCAGCCAGAGGGGCAACGGATGTAGCAGCGGCAGCAGCATCAGGAGCAGCCAGAGGGGCAACGGATGTAGCAGCGGCAGCAGCAACAGGAGTGGCAGTGGCAGCAGCAGCTGATGGGTGAGGTGAGGTGGCTACGGTAGGGGTGGCAACAGGATCAGGTGCCGGAGTGAGCAGAGCCAAGGTGGTAAGAGACATGGCCATGGTAGTAAGCGGCATGACGATACAGAGCGCCCCGTTTATCGCCCCCACTGCATCCGTGCGCATGCATGCGTGCAGCTGCACGCACAACTGCTGCTCGGGTAACTCATGCGTGGGTGACGCCTGGCTGGGTAGCTCCTGCTGCTGTGCGTCGCATTGGGCGTCGCATAGGCCGTCGCATAGGGTGTCGCAGAGGGTGTCGCAGAGGGTGTCGCAGTGGGTGTCGCATTGGCGCGGGTGACGAGCACCATGGCTACTTGGACGGGCTCTGCTCGCTGCATGGCTGCCTGCAGCACGTCGTGCGCGTGCCTGTGGTGATTGGGGGTGCATGGGGGCAGAGAGGGGGCAGAGGGGGATCAGAGGGGGGACAGAGGGGGCAGAGGAGCAGAGGGGCAGAGGGGCAGAGGGGCAGAGGGGCAGAGGGGGGGGCTGCTGCGAGTGACAGCGCCATGGTCGCGCGGATGTGGTCTGCTGGCTGCATGGCTGCCTGCGGCACGTCATGCGCGTGCCGGTGGTGATTGGGGGGGAGGGAGAGAGGGAGCGGGAGGGTGGGAGAAGGAGGGAGCAAGGGAAGAGAGTGAAAAGAGAGAGTTCTCGACGGTCTGCTCCGTGTGGCAGTGGGTCGCCACAACACGCTGATCCGGCACTTCAACTATTCCCCGCGCTCCTCACTCCCGTTCTCTCCCCCCCCCCCCCCCTCTCTTACTCTTCCCTCCCCTCTTACACTCCCCCCTCCCCACCCCCTCTACCTCGTCCTCTTCCTCTCCCCACTCACTCGTACGCGGACTCCTTTGCAGGCCGCAGCAGTCTTCCCGGAAACCTCCCCATCTGCGCCACGTCATCGAGGCTCCAGCCTGTCAGCGACGCTATTCGCCGGTTCCACATCACGCACGTCAGATCCCTGCGGGAATCGCGGCGAGGGGTGAAAACGGGCGGAGGGAGAGGGGGAGCAAGTCAGAGGGGAGTACGCCGGAGGAGGGGAGTATCGGTCGGCGACACGAAGGCCGAACACTCGAGAAGGTGACTTTCGAGTCGACTCAAACGGCCAGAGAACTGCAGAAGGGGCTAATCAAGCAGAAAACGAGGGGAATGGGACGGAGAGGAACGAGGAACGTTCGCCGTGGACAGGACGGAGAGGAAAGTGGATAAAGCGTTTTCGAACCGACCTGTCCACGGCGAAGGCAGCGACGGGCAATTCGTCGGCTGGGATCAGCGAATCGGGGCACCATCGGAATCGACGGTCGCCAGATGCCGACACCATCTGCGGCCCGGCCAGCTCCAGCACAAAGTCGAGCGCTGCCGGCCGATGGCGCGCTAGCATCCTCCTCCGCTTCCTCCCTGCCCCATAATCCGCCGCCATCCCCGCCGTCAGTTGCGCCGCTTTCCCCGCCGCTGCTGCTACTGCCACCGCTGCTGCCGAGGCGGGGCCGCGGGGAGAAGCCGGGGCGGGAGGAAGCGAGGAGAGCTGATTCTGGGACGTTTGAAAATTGCTGAGGGGAACCGTTGACAACAGCGGCGCCGACGGCGGCGGCGGCGGCGGCGGCGGTGTTTTAAGAGACCAGGTGACGAGTGGCTACAGCGTCGTTCGCGGAGAGCGAGAATAAGGCGTCGGAGGAACTATCGACCCGCGGACGAGAAAAGCGTGGGGAAGATAGGCCACTGCTTCGGCTGCGTGAAAGACGGAGGCCGAGGCAGCAAGAGACTGTTCGGGTGACGTGTCGAACCAGGGAAATGACGAGGCGGGTCGAGTTGCTGACGTGGAGCAATTGGCTGACACGGCATGCCGAGGAGGTCCGCCCATCCTTGTGAGCACGTGGAATTGTCTCCGAACGGAACGCTGTATTCGCGCCACGTGTCGTCTGGGCATCCTGGAGCCATGCCTTGCCACGTGTCACGCATTTGTTCACGGGTTGATGTTTAAGAGAACGGATGTGATTGTACTGGGCGATGGGACAGCCACGTGGACATGTGACTCCTGCTGCGAGCGGACTGAAGAAATTACTGGTCAAAAGCGGAAGGACAGGAAGTGAAGCCACTGGCGGGATGCATCTCCAGACTCTAAATGCTACTAGCAGTACTTTCCGTACAACTCGTACGGAAGAGCCCGTGGGGAGAGAGAGAAGAGAACAGAGAGGCTAGTAGAAGGCTGTGGCATATGGAGCGGCAACAGGAGATGGTATCAAAGAAGAGCTGGTGGCATGCTGCCAAGACGGGAAAACTGCAACAAATACGGAGTTTAGTAAGTGTTCCTTGAATCAGGCATACAAATCAGCTTGAGTTGGGGGAGGGTATCGCAGCAGGGCCTACACACACACAAGTGTGCCCTGGAGGGTCGTACAGTACACAAATCAGCTGTTGCTCGCCGTGTTTTGCGCGGTCAGTTTCTGCGGCAATCTCAAGGTTGCCTGCCTCCATCAGTCAATCAGGACACACCCGTCTGCACCCATTGAAAACGACCATAAACCCGGAACGACCGTGCGCTCAGCACACACCTCTCTACACAGGGATGATCTTCCCAGAAGGAGGGAGGGAGTTCCTGTGGTGACTCGGATATTTTCTGATCTAGTATTTTCGCCAGAACCGACCTCAGGGCGTCGTCCACCAATCATTGTGCGTTGCGCGAAATTAATTGCCCGAGCACTTTCATTTGCGACGCTTTACGAAACACTGTTGTCGCCAAGGGTTCAGCACTCCCCTAGCAAACGATGGTTTCCCGCGGACAGCGGAGGGCCATTGAGTGCTGCGCTTCGCCAGTCGCGTGGCTGGTTGGATGGGATAATGGGCCGCGCTGCTGACAGGCAGGCACCCTCTCTGTCTCAGACACTGTAGCCCCGAATCGCTCGCCAGATGGCAAAGTTCAACCAATAAGGTCTCCTTTTGAAGGCGAAGGTGGTCACGGATACACGTCATGATGTAGTCATTTTCCCAGCTAAAGCATTGCCACGACGGAAAATACACTGCCAGAATCGGAAAGTTCAGCAGCTCGGGATATGGGAGTACGTCAACCGCTTGTGCTGCCACGTCATGGAAAGAAAAAGACACTGACGAAAATGCCTGGCACAGATATTTCTCACAGCCAGCTTTCCGCGTTTCTGATAGGATGACTGACGACGAAACCTCCAACGGAGACAAAAACTTAATAACGCGGATTTATATCACTTGCATAAATCCTGAAGATCTGTCTTATTTGGGTAAGTGCATTTCACACATGGTGAATACCATACAATATGTTCACGTGCTTCATCCTCTGCTGGTATACCTTCTTCCAATGGTTTTCCTCGCATTAGTCACGATGCGCATCCGACATCCTTCCTCTCATTGGGGCGTTTATTCCCCGCCTTGGTTCCCCTCTTTCCTCCCACCTTGCAATCCTTCGTCATCCATCCACGTGTTTTAATTTGGAAAAAGAGGTGTTGGGCTGATAAAAGCCTTAGGATCTTTCCAGAGACTAAGTCC